CATCCCTACTGTAGTCCAACTGTTTGATATCGAAGGGTGAATAAACGCTTTGGAGTGAGCCAATCCTGGAAGATTCTGCCAGTAATTCATAAATCTTCTTGCCATCCAGGTGTTTAATCTTCCTTTGGCAAAGCCTAAAGCGGTGCCAATGACGGGTTCTGGTCCGATGAAGCTGCTTGCAGCACTTTCCTTTGAAAGGGAGTCAGCAGCCTCATTGCCTTCCAGGCCAGTATGGCCACGAATCCAGACCAGAGACAATCTGTTGAATCTTCCTATTGAGGAGAGTGGTTTCTGGCACTTTGCTACCAATTTAGACGTTATATGTTTCCTTGCCGACGTTTCGAATTTAATTAATTTCTTCGTCAGGGCTCGAAAAGAAGTTTTTTCGTGTTGATAATATTACTATTTCAAAAACCATCAGACACATCAGATACATATTCAAAAAAAAATATTGCCACAACCAAATTACCGAGACAACACAAAACGACATGAAACAAACGAAACGAAGATGGTGGAATATACCCAAAGAAGGTCGATAAAAACTGATTTTCCTTCACAAAAAAATGAGTTTCGTTCAATGTATCCATTATTATGTGTATTCACCCGAACAAAATAAAAATACACTCGAATGAAAATACGTCTGAATTATTCCAATTACCACCCCACCTGCAGTGAGAATTGCGAATATCCTCTCTATATTCGGATAATTCACTGGTAGATTGAATTATTTCATTTCCCTGAAGCTGCATTATTCTATATTTATATTTTCTGAATCACGAATAACTCAAAATTCGCGCCTATTAGGTTACTAATGAAAATTAACTGGACCACTTTGGAGAGCTTTCGCCTGTCGACCCAAAAAGTTTTTGGGTCAGTTTTCTCTCTAAAGACTCCTACTGCTCATTCCCGAGATGTTTCTACAATTTCATTTGGTTTCAACTTACGACCCTGTTAGAACAAATGGAATACGAAACCGCAAATATCAAATTACACTTTTAGCAAGCAGTCACAATGAAGTGAATTGAAATCAGTTTTTGCACGACACAACTTCTTATTCTCTAATGGGGTGTCTCACTTTTTCTTTGTCTTATATTCGTTAACATTTTGCTGATATATACAGAGTGGAAACCTAAAATGGAAAAAAATTATCTCCGTATAATTTAATTATTATCATGGATAGCGATATTAATTTGCATCAGGTAACGAGTGAATATATTCATAACAGTTAGTATTGTTTGAAATAATAATACTTACCCACTAATACTGCTAACATTTTCGAAAGCCAATGAGGTTGCATTTTCAATATTGGCACTGCCAATGGAAAGGGTTGGTTAGTTAGCGTGCGTGATTCGTTGTACTTATTCAATCGACCGCAATGTAATCTCCAAACATTTGTTATGGAATCAAATATCGTTCATAATACCGCTACACAATATACCTAATATATGAAACAGTGAAGATTTGGTGGCATTTACATCCTCAAAGGTGTACTACGAAGTTTCGGAATATAAAACTGTTACATTACCCTATCAGCACCATTCTGGAAATGGTACTGATAGTGGTAATAAAAAAGATCCTGGTCCAAAATAAAGAAGCACAAATTTCAATCATAACGTAAGGACTTCATGTCACGGACAACTATGACTATGACATAAAGCATTCAATAGTTCAGTCATCTCTAGGTAGCAACTTCCATAATATGGTTTTAGTAACAGAGGACATTGACGTTTTAGTGGTATTAATGACAAATTCAGTACCTGATGGTGTTCGCGAACCATGCAGCGAAAGGAATTCGAACTTCTGACGACTTTACAGGCTCCATTCAGTACCATTCTGTCATGTAGACACTCCAAACGTGAAAGTCCACGGCCTTCCTTTTGTCGGGTGAATTACAACCGTGGAACGGACGATTTGGGATGCAAACTCCTATGGAGATGCATAATTTTTAGGGTCTTTACGTCGAGTTGATACAGCTCCTCCAGAGTTCACTTCACTACTCCAAACGAGTAGAGTAAGATTGGAACGGCAAGCATATTTGTTGCAGCAACTTTGTTCTTCCCCGACAGTTCCGATGACCAGATCTGTCGAAGTTTGAGCTGATACTTGCCACGGAGAGAGTTTTTCACTGCTGTTACCTCTTGTAAGTGACGTTGTTCCACCCTGAGGTAAGTATACGTCTCTCCGGCATCCAGATGGTGTAGGATGCTTCCATCTACGAGGTGCACATCCTCTCCGTAGGAGATAGTTTTTCACTGCTGTTACCTCTTGTAAGTGGCGTTGTTCCACCCCGAGGTCAATATACTTCTCTCCGGCATCCAGATGGTGTAGGATGCTTCCATCTACGAGCTGGACATCCTCTCCGTAGTCCTCGCATCGTCCTCTTTTGAGATGAACCATTGCACATTTGTCTATCCCGAATTTCATACCGATAGCATACGTGTACTCTTCCACCACCCTCAAGGACTGATGGAGATCCTTCTCTCCAGAGGCATAAAGTTTAAGATCATCCATATACAGATAGCAGGTTTTCGTTCCAGGGTGTTAATTTCCATATCGAAAAATCACGGTTTCAGAATGTTATTCTGATACATTCACAATTTCTTAAGGAATATTTTTTCAGTAACCGTCTAGCATGTAAGTACCTACTTCCTGGACGCTTTTCTTTAAGAGAGTATAATTTTTAAGGTACGAAAACGTTTATGATTTGTTCTCGAAATGGATGGATATAAACAAATCCTATCACAGAGAATATAATTTTGGCTTATTTTGCGCAAAACTCTGAAACTGTCATATTCTCTATCTTGTGGAGCATGTACTACTATATGTTGAAAAGTACCATGTTAATGATTAAACATGTAAACATGCCCACTTTCTCAAAGGTTATCGCATTTCTCAAAAGAAAGGAAGTCTTCATCAGCGAGCAGATCAACAAATCCATTAGGAAACGAATAATACATGTATTAACTTAATTTTCTTTATTATCGGTTAGCAACAATTATTGCATGTAGACGGAAAGAACTAACAAAAATGTCAATGGATCTAATAAATGACAAGGAAGACATATTGCTTTTGATACCAGATTCCAAAACATATATTGGGACATTTTCTGTTGTAATTGGCCCAGAAAACCTGCTGTTGTTGTAAATTATTAATCTTCATAGCCGTCCCATACTCCACCTAACACATGTTTAACAAATGTTTGATTCAGCCTTTTGGTATCCACAGTTTTGGGAATGTCAGATTGAGAATAGTAGAATTTTTAAATTTACCCAATCCTAAAAATCACACAGGCCATAGCATTCGTCGAACTTCAGTAACGATATTTGCTGATAATGGTGAAAACATTACAAATTCGAAGAGACACGGAGGCTAGAAGTCTTCCAATGTAGTTCAAGGATATACTCACTATTCCACTAACAAGCAAAATAAAAATTGACAAGACCATTCATATTATCAGATGAAAACAATCAATGTAAAACGGAAACTTCACCTCCTTGATCTGACTTCATCAAAAGGCATTTAAATACACGCCAAGCATTTCAAACAAATTAAATCCCTTCAGTATTAGCAATGGCTTGAATTTTGATATAAATAGTAATATAAATAAGAAATATGTTTCTTTTTTTTAAGGAAAAAACACAAGCACTACCAAAAAATCCTTAAGGTGCTCTCAGAGCGGTGTCTGCAATAGTAGCGATTCACATTGGATTTGAATCGCTGAATATTAAATCCATTTGGAAAAACGTTCTCAGGAAGTTTATTCCACATCAACGCAGTTCTTCAGATAAAAAAGTACTTGAACAGTCGAGTTGAAGGTGTACTGAGTTGAACCTCAAAACGATGATCAGCCACAGTCCGTCGCATATTTCTGATATGTCCGCTCTTGGTGGAATCAAATGTGCTATGTCACTTGAACACTTCCCGTGAAAGTATCTATAAAAGACAGACCAATCTCCAACCTTTCTTCGATGTTCCAGTTTATCAAGGTTGCACGTGATGTTCGCGTCTCCAATCAGGCGGATGGCTCTCTTCTGGATGGAATCCAACAACTTCAAGGTATGTTTGGGGGCAGAGCTCCATACATGAGAACAATACTCCAAAGAAGGTCTGATCTGAGCTTTATGAAGCATCAAAAGTTGCTGAGATGTGTACAGTTTTCTGGTTTGAAACAGTGTTCCAAGCTTTTGAAAAGCAGCCTTCGCAATTCCAGCGACATGATTGTGCCAAGAAAAATTGGTGTCCATTTTAACCCCCAACAAACTTATCGAAGCAGAAAGGGGCATTGTGTGACCTGGCATTATTATGAGACATTTATCTTCTTGTAGAAAACCGATGCCTGGGTTTTTGTGACATTGAATTAAACCTGGTTACTTTCACCCCAATTCGAAATCACTTCTAGATCCTCTCATTAAGATATGCAACCTCCTGCTGTCTGTGAAGATGTGCCTCCGTGGCCAATATCCTGAAATTCAAATGGAATGACGAGACAAGTGTGCTGTCGTCAGCAAAGCAATATATTGGATGTTGGTGTCTTTCAATGAATCGTTGATGTACGATAAAAATATGGTTGGAGACAATATGGATCACTGGGAACACCATCGTTGATGGTGAAAGTATTCGAGAGATATCCATCGATGGCCACTTGCAGGGAACGTTCTTTCATGAAGCTGAACATCCATACACAAAAAAGATCCGACAAGCCACAGCTTCAAAGTTTGGCCAGCAAACCCTCATGCCATGTTAGTCTACACAGTTGCTGGAAAATAGTGTAAGCAACACGTCAGAAAACAGTTTTTTTTGGATTCCCAGACTTTCAGAACTCGACTAAGGCTCGTCCTAGAATTTTGTCTACTCATCGAAAAAAAAAATATTTTCAGGGTGTATCATGGTAGAGCATAGAAAATATCACTTGCTCTTCATCAATTCTTTCAAATGTATTCAGTATTTTCCACATTGGTTACTTCATTCGTGTTAATTATAAATTTTGTTTTTTTTTTCAGTTTGAATTCTGATGGACTCTCACCTTTAGATGTTGCTGTTTTAAGCAATAATAGGCCGTTAGTGAAAATGCTTGTTAGTTTTGGAGCTAGGGAAGGCAATCAATGTAAGTATCTCTATACTAATTGTAAATGATATAATGGTTGAAATATAGTCACATCGATATAATAACTTCGTTTCATAGATCCATTCGTTATATTGGTAAGGCATACTTGTAAAATCTACATATGCCAGGTAAACAAATATATTCAATCTACTAAAAATGATATTCGAACTAATGTTTAAAGTATCGATTCTACCAGTAAATTGGTTGGTACTAATTATCAAACATCTCTGAGGACAAATTCAGCTCAAATGAGGTAATCCTAGTTTCACCCTAGGTGCATTCTTGGATTTTTTGAAAATTCCACATGTAGAAATTTCAATACTTTCATAAACATTATAACTTCTCTGTTCTTCATCAGCACATTGATATAGCATACTGATTCACTTAGTTCTACGCGATTTACTTCGCTCTACTCGTGTGTTGTGATCAACGATTATGGACATACAGGATTGCTTACTTTTGCGATTTTGTTAGACACGTCACGTGGTCTCGTGACGTAACAGTGGTGACTCTGGATTGATTCGGTACTGCACTTCTAAATTAAAATGAACAAATTTCAGGTAAATCCCTTAGTAAAATATTATTTTCAAATAGGATTGAATACTTAATATAAATGGATCAATCCTAAGTAAAAATTTTTCTTTTGTGGATGATAGGGCGAGCTATTTGGCTTTTTTTAAAAGGAAGAGGAGTAAAGTAACAACAAGAGTTCCAGCACACTTTGGATCATTTTTACGTGTTAAACGCCATAAGGAAATCTAAGGTCCATTTTGCATATTTTGATACCACGGATCGGATCCTTGTGGAACACCCTACAGCTTCGTCACCGGCCGTGAAACTTTATACATAAAAAAATCGTNGTTGATGGCACTCACTATTGGTCTTAGTGGAACGTCCGTCTTGTGAATTTTTGGAAGGCCATACAACTTCGGGCATTTGCTGGACTTTTCCCGAGGTATGGTTTTCTGCTCGATTTCCCGACCTAGCTTGAAAGACTGGATTTTAGCCTTTGTGGTTTTCTCTAAATATGTCGTCGGGTCTCTGGCTGATGGTTTATAAGAACCGTCTTGGAGGATGTTCATCATCTTTTTCTGATAGTCCGTGGTATTCATGACTACTGTCGCGTTTGTAATCGCATATAATCCTGCGGCCATTTAGATATCGGTACGATTCCTTGCACTTTAGCTTGGGTAGGCTGGTCCACGGTGGCATGTTTTGCATAAGCTCATGGGGGGTTTTAGTTCCCGTCACCCTACTTATTTCTGCCATTAACCAGGAGTCTGGCGACCCCGTCCGTAAGGCCACATTGACTTCCTGGACAAGGCTTACAGTCTCCTGGCCGTTCCCCTATCCGCTACCTGGGGGCGCGCCCGATAGGTAGCCCAACCCACAGGAACCTGCACTCTTATTTTTCGTTCTAATTTTACCGGATAATCTGTTCCTCCTAGCCATCCATTTTATTGACTTCCCAAAAAGTTCGTTATTTGTGTCTACTTCTTCGTCTTCATCCAATTCCTTGCTTCCCGAAAGTATGGTATTTGAATTGTTTTTGATCAGGTCATATAATTTCTCTAAGTTCCAAACCATTTCAGAGCTGACAAAATGTTTATTCAGGATTTTGATTGGAATTATTAGCTAGACGCGTGAATTGTCTCTTGAAAGATTCTTGCCAGTTTGCCCTGGCTTTCTGAGAATTTGGTTCTAAGTTTCATGTAATCCTCCTATACCAGTTTTCTCTTGAATCAGAACCACATGTAAACTATTTGATAGTGTTTGAATTGAACCAGGTTTTTTTCCGGTGATAGGCTCTTTCAAATAGATGAATTTTTCCATCTTTTCCCAACTTCATTCTAACTTTCCTTCATGGTTATTGTAGAGTTTCAAGGAATAGAAATGACAAAAATAGTCATGATTCCAGAATAATGTGTTCTAGAAAGATCTAAATTGAAAAAGTTATAAATGACACATGGAATAAAAATATAACGTTTGTTTGAAAGAGGTTAACAATGTTTGATGGTGAATTTTACTAGTTTGGACTTCCATTGACTAATATGATTGTAATATGATTTAAAATCTCTGAAAGAACAAATAAAATTGAAATAAATAGCTAAAATACCAATAATATCGAGCAATAAAACTTGAAATCACAATAAAACGAATAGAATAATCAAGATAAAAGATGAAAATGGCCACAGAGTGTAAAAACGAAGATTTTAGTAGGCAAAAAATTAAAAATAAAACAATCAAAAATATATTTTGAAAAATTTGAAAAAATCCGAACTAGTAAAATCCACATTATAATTATAAACTATAACCTCACAAGTATCTGTTTCGTGGTTTCTGAAGTTTCATGAGAGATGAGTTAAAACTAATCCCGTTATTGGAGGAGATGAGAAAACTGTCAAGAAAATGAATGATAATATCGATCTTTTCATTTTACATATTTAAAAGAAAGATTCACTTTTTATGAATCAATAATCAGTATTTGGATTCTTTTAAACATTATTCGTCTGTTTTGTTCTCTCTATAATGTTTTACATCTGCAAAAATATAACTTTGGATAAATTTTCTCTCTATATAACTGGTCTCAGTTTTTTAAAAGTTGATTATTCAATTTTTTGGACGAAAAACTACTTGGCTTCCTACTTCTTCATCATTAAATGAAAACAAAAATTTTCTGATTCGGTCGTTACTTGATGAAGTAGTAGTAATTTCAAAAACTACACAGTAGCTTTCTCAAGTGATTTCTCAAGTGAATATTCAAATCACTCGAGAAAGCTACTGTGTCAGTGAAACATGTTGTGATGTGATATATTTTTCAAATAAAGTTTGTGGATATTAAATCGTGAGGTGTGGTTTTTGAAAAAACAAAAATGTAGGGAAACTTCGGAAGAAAGAAAGAAAATAACTGCAAATTGATTTTTTTTTTCAAAAAATTCCCTTCTCAATACCGTTGACTATTCGAGTTTTCCGCACTAAGTAAATACTTCAGCAAAACAAGTAAGCAATAAAAACAATAGCATGTAGGCATTAAACAGGGTTACCTACCTTGTCACAATTATAGAAATTTATTGTAGTATTTGTATTTGGATTCATTGAAACCATGAACAAATGTTTGGCAATTTTTTTCTACTTTCTCAAGAATAGTGATTTTGGAAGTTATAATTAAAACAGGTGAATAGAAAAGTAAAGGGAGTATGAATACCTTTTCGTTGAATTCGAAAACAGGAAAGTCGATTATTTGAACATTCAGAACGTACTTACATACAAATACATACAATCTTCCTTTACTAACTCACCACCATGGTCAAATGAGTTGAATTAGAAAATCCCTTCAATTATACGATTTATATCAACGTAAACAAAGTTAAAACTCTTGGTAATTACAATTCGAATTAAACAGTTCTAATTGGAATTTGCGGGAAAGTGCTTTTTCGAAACGGAATCCAACAATTAAAAACAAATTAGAACAACGGCAAGATAATTGAAAAGATTCACCCTGTCGCAAAGTTCACGATCAACTTGGACGGTCGACTATTTGATGAGTTGAAACTTTGATCGTTTTAGCTTTATTCGCTTTCAACAATTTGGAAACGATCGAAGCTAGACGATTGACAAATCTTGTACATTTTTCATGAACACAATATCGATTTTGAATATTTATGAGTTGCATATAAAAGATTCAGGCCAACGAAAACTACCAGAGAGGTCTAAGATCAGCTAAGAACCCTAGAAAGTGTTCAGCATCACCAAGAGTATACCGAGACTCTTGTAGCTGTGAGACCGTCTACAATGGAACCACGAAAAGAAGTGTACCTACCTACACGGGTCTGTGAACACAAAAAATTTATCAGCTCGGGCATACATACCAACTAGTACATGCACCCAAATAAAGTACTCACGTGGTATCATTGAAAAAACACAGATAGTTGACGAAACTCAAAATTGCCGTCCGAAATAGAAATTCATAAACTCAAAAACAATTTCAATCGAACAAAATAGGGAATTAACATAAGTTGAATCTGGCTACCTGTTCTAAATTGCATCAAATCATGTTATTCATTGCAAACAATAGGAAGGAAGCCACTCCCACTCCCAATGGATTGAAACCGGGACACTTTCCAATAGTTTCATAAGTCTTGTTATAGTATAACCCAAGCACTTCGTCCGTTAACTTCGATAACTACGGAACCAATAGACGAAACGTCAGGTACAAACAGAACGTAAGGAATAAAAACCTGTACAACACGGCCAACACACCCGAAAAATAACTTCGTGACAAAAAAAGGGTTCGTTTTCAGCGAATATTTCAATAACTATTGCTGATTCTCAAATTTTAAAAAAGGTCCTAGAATAGTAGAAAATTCACTGAAACAGTGTGTACTTTTCCTTGGCTATCCAGAAACTATAATTCTGTTAATCAAAACGATCTCACATTTTTCATGTCGATTTGTCTCTGTAATACGATTGTTTTTACAGTTTCGAGTACAGAAAAACTGGGATCGCATTTGAAACAATTACTGGGTGATGCTGAAATGCGCCTCCACGAACTCGGTGGACTCTTAGAAGATCCTTGTGGCGTACCACCGAATACCAGAGCTTCATTCTCCAGTATCATCGGAAATGCTTATCCAACATCATCCATGACAGGTGAAACCTTGTTATGAACTAGTATTCAGCTCAAATTGTTGTTGCCGTGTCGAAACAAACATGTCCTTCACCTTCATTCAGTTTATTTATTTTTTATTATTATTTCTCCTCAGATTCAGGACCTTCTCAGAAACATTCATGCACAAAGAACACTATCACCAAAGTCTTTCTTCGCTATTAAATTGATCAAACATTTGTTTTGTTCTTCACTTTTATCAGTGATTGTTAGTAGATATTGTAAAAAAAGGTTGGTCAAAATGGACACGTTTTTATAATCTTGTTCACAGGAGAACCTTTTTGCACACCATTGTTGTCTGAGCTTCAATGACACATTTCCTATTCATGGTGTTGCTAAATTGTTCAACTCATACTCTTACTTCATCCCAAGATCCTCCAGGACTACTTGAAAGTTATTTTCATTGGAAATGATTTCCACCATTGAGAATATCCTCGATAAAAATTATCCAATATTCACAGACTTTCATCATGTTCATCAAAATTATGCACCATTTTCATCACATAGGAATGAAATTTGTTTCTCTAGAAAATGGCAGGACATTTCACACCTGTTCAGAGATTTAGGTTTATTCAACGTGGAGGTCAGTCGCAAGCTCCACTCTGCTACTCTATTCCATAAGATCATCAAAACACCAATTTACCTTTTAAGAAAATATCTTTCAAAACCGATATGCAGCATTTGAATTCAAAATTCCAAAATGTACTAACTAACTAACCCTTTTAGAATAAAACATACTTTTGTTTCCAATTTTTTTTCAATTGCTTCAAGAATATTATTGAAATATTAAGATACTCTTCAAATCTTCCATTTTTATAAACAGGTTGAAAATGTATTAGGATTATGACAAACTGTTGTCACAACTACTGTTCCTTATCTTAGTTGTCTGGTTCAAGGAATAATACGAGTATAATTACATGTATTCAGTTTCGTGTGATTACTGTTCCTCACGACTACTGTTAATAGTTACTAGTAGAATACCTAGTTATAGTTTTTTTGCGAAAGAATGCCTTGATCGATTATTGCAGAGATTGAATCCTGCCTTTTGTTTGTTTCTGTTTTTGTTGGGGACCAAGAATAAAAGTCTCATCATCATTATTATTATTATCATCACTTCAAAATTCTGTGAATTGTATCACTGACAACATATGCGGGAACAGAAGTTTGCTCAGAAATGTTGAATCCTCAACATAACCCAGAACCGGAGTTTATACAAAATTACTCTCCATTGAGAGCTGAACTTCTTTTTTTTTTTGTTGTCGACTCTACCTCCACAAAATTTCTCATCAGATTTGATACATAAGGTGATATACCATTTCGTTTCAGTTGTTAACAGTTAAGGCACGGGCTGCTAGGCTTGTACATTAATGATTATGATAGTGATAAGTTAACAAAAAAAGCATTTTCAACGTAGACCTACGTAAAAAGAGTAGCATCAACATGATAAAAAAGTATATGCCTACACCACTTTCATCAAAAGTGTCTAGCCTTGGCGAAGCATGGAATTCAGTATTGCAAGATTGACACCACTAACTTATTATTATCAATAAAACCCACTTCCGCCAATAGCTTGTGATCCAACGCCAGATAGCGCTGTTTGGAAATGCCAAGGTATCATCAGGACAGTTGAGTGGTTTAACGTAGCACCACTGATTTTGATAATAAATTGGTGGAGCGACAACCACGACTAGTATCAGGTTGTCTATCTCAGTCACCTTCTCACTTTCACCTCCACCTCTCCCAGAGGAATTCTTCATTATATTGTTTTCAAAAAATCAAATATTCGTATCCAAGATAACCTAAAACTAATTTCTTGACAGCCTTCTGATACTACAGTATTTTTCAGCAGTTTCTGAAAGTTTGAGATATGCAAGTCTGGTTCTAGAGAAGGTGTATTATTCGATTTCATTCTACGAAACTATCAACTGTTTTATTTCTTTGTACATGTACTCCTTCTGCTAAAAATAATATAATTTTTTATATGAAATAGTATTATTTCACAGGCTGTGCCGGTGGTGACACAGAAAAGCAAGCAGTAGCTTGGGGAAGAAGAGCGAAATCTTTAAAAAGACTTGTGCTAGGATTCGCACAAGCCAGACCTCCTGATCCTCCGTCTCTTGTAGCTTTGGATATATCTTCTTGTTCTACTGTCGCGGTGCGATTGCAGGAACCCACAGCTAGTGACTCACCAATTACCACCAAGTTCAAAGGTAAGACCCATTCAGTTTAGGCACACGGAAGAGCAATTTTATGTCTAACGCTTCTATCTAGCTATTTCTTTTCATGATGAATGATAGACCTAAATGAACAAGTTAGAAATGAGAAGTCTGATGGGTTCAAGCCCAGTTAGACTCTTGATCTGAGGAATAAAGAGAAGACACTCACAGGGTTTCATATAATATTCATCAATTTATTCTAACAGAACAAATGTCTCAATAAAGAAAAATAATATTCGTTTCGAAGTTATTTGTGAATACATGTTTTTGACTCTTTTTTGGTTCGATATACAATGATAACCACAACTATATTTTCCCAAAAACTAATAATTTATTGAAGGGAACTGAATCAATGAAAAAAATCAATGAAACTAAATGGGTTCAATAAAAAGTAAATATTGGAAAGTGGGTGATGGAACCAAGAGAATACAAATATCGTTTGAGTTTGAATCTAATTTTATGCATGCTCAAATCTCAGATAGTTTCATTTGACTCGGACAGAAATGTACTGTATTATTTTTCGCTTATCCTATTATTTCAAAAATAAATAACGCAGCTGAGTTGCATTCTGAAGATGTGATTTTGTGCGATGAAATTCCCGAAAAACATTATCAAGCATATAACATTTCAAAAATATTGGAAGGAAGTATACATTGTTCGAATGGATGCATGATAAAATATGAAAATAGTCACATAGAAGGTATTGCTTATCTTTTTATCTATGTTATGGCACGGACTCTGCTCAAATGGCTAAAAGTCAACGGACAGATTATCCATTGAATTGATGAATGTAGCCAAGAGATCATCGCCACTTTGTTTTTGTAACTAACGGTACTGCAGTTTCGTCCCACAAGGACATTTTCAAACGAACACTGCTACAATAAACTGAAATGATTTTAACTATGTAAACTTTTATATACATTTGCAACCACTGTCGGTAATAATAGATGGTCCTTAATGACTTCATCACCTGAATTTTGTTAATGTGTGACAATGTGGGTACGCTAATCAGAAAACCGGCGAGTAGACCAGGTCAATTTGGTCATTTAGTAGTTCACATCCGCAATGCTCATGTTTAAGAATTTCCAAGGATTCCAAATAATTGAGTTTCCAACTCTTGCCTGCATAGTGCAGAATTTCGATATCATTTAGATTCGGGAACTCGTGGTTGCATTCCAAGGAATGATTTGAAAACGTCAAACTCTTTCCATCTAGTGTTAAGGACCTTTCATGCATACCGTTTTGAGACATTTCAGCCACATGGTCCCACATAAACAGTTTTACAATCCGGACAATTAAGCTTATTAACACCAGATTTCTGGTGTTTATAAGCTTATCTTATAATCTTTGGCATTATAAAGGAAATTAGATAACTTGCCATGTGGCCTGAATGCCACTTCCACATTGCTTTTTCTGAAAAAGCCCACAATTGTCCATGTCCTTTTACCAAAATATGTTAAATATATCACGAATTTCTTGATTCCTGATTGTTTAATCAGAGGGTGTACTAATCTGTACGTAAATCTGAGGCAATGATTTCAAAATAACTTCTGGATTGTGTCTGCGTTGAAACCATTATTAAGTCCTATCTGTATAATTGTTTTAAGTTTCCTATCCAGATTGTTAGCAGACAAAGATAACGAGAATGCACTCTGTAATATCGAATTGTAGGCTGCTGATTTATGACTGTCGTGATGGGAAGGATCACTTGGGATTGTAATCTCTATAGCTCGGTTTTTTAAATACATTGAACTCATTATAATTATGTATTGTGGTCAGGTCTAAAAAATTAATCTTTTTCTCTATCTCTGTTTTGAGTGTGAACTACATGTTTCCATTAAGATTATTCAGAAATGTCAGGAATTAGTTCAGCTGTCGTCTAGTACCTCTGAAACAGGTGAAAATATCGTTTACATATCTATACCAAAAATTAATATATTTTTTACCCAGTTCGGAATTTACTATGGTGGTCTCTAATCTATTCACGTTTGAAAACCTGAATCCTGTTTATAAAATTTGTTATTGAACTGTAAGTGATTCTGATTCAAACATACATCGAAAGATGTCGGAATTTCATCAGAAGTGAAATGATCTACTTTGGGTTCATCTGATATATTCAAAATGAGGGGCTGACATTCGCTATACGGTATGTTAGAGTACTAACTCTTTACATCTAATAATTCTGTGGCGGGGTTTGGGTTTTTTCAATCCGGTATCTGAAAGGTAATTTTTCAGTTCATTCCTACCATTTTTCTTTGGGTCTTTCTTGATGACAGTAACATTTTCCTTATGAATGACTGATTCAAATTTCTGAATGTATGTTCTTCATTCAAGTATAACGATGTCATTCGATTTATCAGCTATATTTAGCTGTATCTGTTCTGTATCTGTAGAGTAGGGAGGGTGAGTGAAAGCCCACGCACTTAGGCCACATGTGACCCATTGTACATCCTCCCGAGGAGTTGTCCTCCTAGGTCGTCGTCCATCCTGTCCTTTCCAGGAAGGTGGACAGGTCGCCGGGAGACATCTCCTTTATATCGGCAGGTGTAGGCCAAGACTCGCTGTATCTGTTATTAACGTAACTAAACTGGTTTGTTTATTATTCCTGGTGCCAATTTCAGACTTTTGGACATAATTGAAATTTCTTCTATGTTAAACTCTACTTTGGTCGAATGAGTGATTTTTTTTTCACTGAATTTGATATCTGGTTCAACTGATTTGTTATGTATGATATGTTTGTGTTTCTGTGTTAGTACCATGAGTTTCTTATGTTGAGTTTGGTACTTTCGGTATTCAAACCTACTAATTCTAGACCTGATTTTGTCATAAAAAATGGCAAATTCTGATGGAGTTTATAAGTAAGTTCACATGCAATACCTTATTCAGATAATGTTGCAGGATACTCCTTTTTGAGAACAGTGTTTTGCACTCATCTTTCAGCCAGATCACTCGTGCTGTTATTATTGCCTTTTCTTCTGCTATTGTTTTTGTCCTCGTTCTGATGTTGATATAGTTCCTTCCCAGGCACTTTTTCTTAAACCATAAGTTCTGCCATGCTTGATGGTACTTCATTTTCAGTTCAAAGTTCAGTATGCGGCTTGTCTAGCTGTACTCACTTCTTTCTATAAATTGATGGATGTATCCGTTACTACGTGGTAGGAGGAAACTGGTAAGACGAAACTGCAATAACGTGAGTTACAAATACAAAGTGGTATAAAAACATAAGAAGTTAGAATTCTCATTTCTCATCAATAATCATTATTGACATTCATAAAAATAGCATCAACATACCGGTGGGTGATAAAATAATTTCACGAAAGTTTTCACAGTGAAATGAAAATAACATAGAACTAGTATTTACCTTTGTAAATTTGTGATGCACTATTTGGAACCTTTGGTAAAGTAATGAATATTACAAGAGTTTTTTACCAACACCAAACCGTTATTTTAACACCTCGACTCGTGTTTCGATCATCAAGTGATCATCTTCAAGAGGGAGATCAAACTAGTTTGATCTTCCTCTTCCTCAAGCGTAAAGGAGTTCACGCTTGATGAAGATTTTTGTAAAACCCTCCATAGTGAAAATCATACAATGAACTGTATTAATTAGTTTTAGATTATGATTTATTTTTGGGAAAAGGGTTTTCACAGTAAATGAAATATTTGAAATCAGGAAAGAAATGTTTTTCTTTCAGGCGGTTGATGTTTTGAGAAAATACTTCATTTGAACGAAAGGCATTTTTTGTTTTTCAGTACAATGGTCTACGCGGGCGGATTTCTCGATAATTACGGGTGAAAAAGAAATACTAGAGATATCCAATCCTAACTGTACCATAGAACTAACTCAGGGAAGGCGATACTTTTTCCGGGCGGCTTGTGGCAATTTAAAAGGTTTCGGCGCTTTCTTCACGTCCACTCCATCTTCAGTAGTACCTTCCACTTGGAGAGCTATCGAGCGAAAGGAGGAAAGGTAAATATCGGCTTCAATTTCAATGATTTTGTTGTTATGTTATTGAGACCATGAATTTCAAAGGTGGTCCTTGGTAATGCCAAGTTTTGAAATCAACCGACAAATGCTATCCACTGCAGACAACTAGACAATACTGTCATCGCCTACTTCTAACATACCTATACATCCACCTAACTATAGTAGAATGTGGAATAAGGATGAATTAATAATGAAATGATTCTAAAATATGTTTTTTGAATATATGCAACTATTTTTCAGGTTTGGTAACCAATTGAAACAATTAGATGAACTAATGGAAGAGGTGAAACAATTTAGGCCCGGTAGCGAAATTTTGGAAACGCAGAATTCTCAAAGAAGGGTCCAGAAAAAGAAAACCACTATCAAACAGCTTTTTACGGCTGCCAGTAAATTCCAAAAGCATCTCAGAAGGTAAGTGTGTCACTGTTTAATTTATACTGAAAGATTGTGACTTTTAAGTTCAAAAAGTGACGAAGTCTGAGATTGGATGAAGTTATTCTCGAAGACGTCTGCTAATTTCTCAGGGGCCGTTCAAGTATCACGCAAGCACTATTGGCGGCGGGGGTCTTCTGCTTTGCTTATTTTCGATTGACATGAGGGAGGGGGATCTAGATGATGATTACGTCAGTAGTAGTTATTTATTTTTTTACACAAGACATCCCACACATTGCCTGTGTTTCAAATGATGTTTACGTTTAGGTACTCGCTTATATCTGAGTATGGGAATTACCGCGCGCGCTATCCACTTGTCTAAATTTCTTCCGCCAAACTATTGTTTCGTTTCGATATGATTGATGATTTGGCGTATCGTAAGCAAAGCAAAACATGTTAATGTTTATATTAGCGTTGATTCACTTTAGCAAAAGTTGAATTGTTTAATTAGGATTTCGTTTCAAACAGACAAAGTTATACCTAAAATTGTTCGAAAGTTTCAAAAAAATTCATACAAATACGGAAGTACAAAATATACAGAAGATAGTTAACGAAATTTGGCGTAATTATAAGTTACAAGAAAAGTCCGATAAGGACTAACCATGTTTACGCAATCATGGGAGGGGGAGAAGGGATTTGCTCACCTACTTTTGCTGACAAGGGGGATGGAGGGAGTAAATAATTGTAATAAATATGCTTTCGTAATATCTGAACGGCCCCTTAATAAGGTTTTTTTATTTGTTGAAATGATATTTTTTAGCCTCTATAAGTCGTTGACGAAAAACAGTCTTATAATATTCTATTACTGTGTCATCATTCCGAAATGTTGTTGTTTGGATTCCCCGTCGGTCTCCAGAAGTTGATGACGAAAAATAATCTAATTATATTCTATTACCTACTGTTTCGTCACTATTGCTGTCAAAACATAAATCGTGTCAATAAGACAACCCGTAAATAAAATTAACTTCAATACGAAATCTTTGATATGTGATTATTAGGATCTCACGATTTCAATTTTCGAATCAATTATTATAATTATACTTTCAAGCTCCAAGTAACAAATTCACCACATAGGCTGGATAGTCAATATGTTCAGAAAAACAAAAGTTGACATGTCTCGGCATTTAGATAACAATTATGATTCTCATTGTACCCTGTCTGTTCAGGCTAGTATCATTCCCTATAACTTTCTGCAGTCGGGCCAAACCATCACAACAGAGTCCTATTGTGATAAAATCGACGAAATGTACCGAAAATTGCTTCAGCAGCAGCCAGCACTGGTCAGCAGAAGAGACCCGATGTTGCTTCACGACAACGCCCGTTCGCACGTTTGACAAATCACCATCCGAAAATAACAGGATATTGGGGGTCGAAGTTCGGCCTCACCCATTATACTACCCAGACCTCTCGCCAACAAACTGACTACCATCCTTTCAAGCACTCTGATAACTTCCTCACCGGTGGAACTTTCGCCAATCAGTACCAGGCAAGAATGGCCTTCTTCAGCTTCATCGAAACCCGAGCATCCAATTTTTATGCCGACGAAGTTAATCCACTTGTGTTACGTTGGCAAAAGTGCCCTGACTCTAATGGCGCTTATTTTGACTAAATTGAATAAGTATTCACTGAGATACTACAGTTCAAAGTAGACTCATAAACACGTTCGAAACAACCTAATATATAACATATATTTTTGGGAAAGAAAGTTTTTGGCTTTCTACTACTCCATCTTGATACAAAAAAAAGGAATGAGGGAATCTTCCAAAGAAAGGAAGGAAGTGATCAATTTTTTGTATCAAGATGGAGTAGTAGAAAACCAAAAACTTTCTTTCCCAAAAATTAATCACTCCTAAAAATATAACCCCTTCAATTCAAATAACATATATATTATTAATGGAATTTGATTCGTGTTTTACTCATATTCCGTCCTTGCTAACATCTTCAAAACTAGTATATTTTTCTATTTTCATATATTTTTTCGGTGTATTGTGGTTTTTGAAAAGTTGTTCATAGTGAAAATCAGTTGAATGTTCATTTGAGAAATCATTATACCTCAATGATTATGCTCATAAATACTTTTTTATTTTCAGGGGCATTTATTTAGCATGTATTCTATACCACGAAGACAAAGTATTAGTAACAAATGAAGACTTTTTACCTGTGATAGAAATAGACGAAACATTCCCAAGTTGCATCCACACGGATCTACACTGGTTGATGAAAATAGCCTGTACCTGGGACGACACGAAGCTCCTCAGATCCGAAATGGAAAAGCACTCGTCATCAGCCATTCATTTTCGCACCAAGCTGCTGACGGCAGCCATGCAAATGCAGTCCTCTCTCTGCCTTCAAGATCTCGGTCAGCTCTATTACAAACCTCTGCGGGATTCCCAAGGAACAATGGTGTTAAGTACTATAAACTATGTGAAAACTCCAAAAAGTGTGTCTGTGTTAAATTCGAGGTGGTTACCGATGAACAAAGTCTTCAAAAAAATGGTGCTCAGTGACGATCATAGTATTTCAGAAATACTCATGGCCAGTATCCAAGAACAAATCAATTACCATCAGGTTTCTAGTCTGAAATTGAGTAGGGGACTATATCTGGCTTACTTGAAGATGCAGAGTTCCGTGGATATGATACAAGTTGTGGTGTCCTCCAAATCTCCGAATATGTTGCCCCATTGTAAAATTCGAGATAATCCACATGTGTCAGCGTGAGTAGAATAAAACAAGAGTTTTTTTGAAACTAAATACAAGCAAGCTTCTAACATTTGATAGCTTCATAGAACTAACCAAATCACCACTACGTTATTCCCCTGTGTTTTGTTAAGCAAATTAGCACCTCTGCATAGTTTACTTTCAATCTAATGAGGTTATATTATATAGTTACCCGACTGTGCATACTCAGCTAAATTTCCATATATGTGAGAAGGGATCCGAATTTCCGGCAACAATTTAGGAAACTGTCAAAATGAAAATTATTTCAATACAAAACATTGAATTGGATATCATCCTTTGTGAATGGATGATGTAGTGAGTGGGTCTGATATTCAATTGAATAGGATCGTTCAGTCAAATCTATTTAGGTGGATTCTTTCAAATATTTTGATACAGCTAATCATCCAGAATACAATGACAAAAATTTCAAATCGATATTGTTCATGGTTATGAATATACAAAACTTCAAAACTACCTATGCTTTGTGACATCAGGGAATATTTTCGATTGTTGGTACCGCATCTGAATTGTTATGAAATGTCAATTTAAATTTATCTTTCATAATAAAACTACAAATATTCATCATCTGAAAATGAAAATTTTGAGAGAAAGTATATATTTTCTCAATATTTTTTTTTGAAGATATGAGCACTACAGAAAAATCTTCAAAATAGACTATCTCCTTGTGATTGAAGTATTACGAATTGTCGTGCGAAAAAACCATTTTGGAAAGTTTAGTTCACAGAACTGTCCACTGAACACAACAGAAACAAAGAAAAATTAATGCTATGGATGAATATCCACCACAATGAAACAAGAGAGATGCGAAATCAATACATTTCTCTTTATATTCTCTTTATATTCACATTTCTCTTTATATTCGAATAGAGAAACTAGTCATCAGTCTTGATGAAATATTTCAAAAAAAAAAATATAAAACGAGCGGTTACTCGTTAACAGTCAGATATATCATGGAGATCGGTTTTTGGTTGTCATTGGATGTCGTTTGTTAGGAAAGACAAATCCGGACTGGAATTCAATGACAACCATCCTAAATTTTTACAATCGTTCAACATGTTAGACTCGTTTTTTACGAAATACTTTCAATTGTAATACAAAATGTTATGCTCTCCTTTGATCATTTTCATCAACTCTTGATACCATCCTCCTGAGTCAATCCACGGATACCTCTAGGGCACATGACTGGTTTGGCTAGGTTAGGTCCAAAAGTGAATGGATCTATTCGACCCTCCACTGCAGCACGCAAGGGTTTATTGTGGCTCACACCTATTCACACTCGACCAAATAAACCCAGCTTTTCAACGAAGCCGATTAGTTTGTATGGTGAGTGGTCTTTCAAGTCAGATGGTAAGAGTACGGCTCTGTCGAACTCTAAAAACCTAATTCGGTCCCCAGCGAGGCAGGCACAAAGTATGTGATCTGCTGTCTCATCATTTCCCAAACAGAGACGACACACACTGTCTTCCGACAGTCCGAGTCTCTGCATGTGATGATTCAAATGATAGTGACCTGTTAGAAGGTCTGTTAGACATCGTACTTCATCCCTACTGAAGTCCAACAACTGTTTGGTATCAAGCTTCGAAAGGTGAATAAACGGCTTGGAGTGATGCAATCCTGGAAGATTGTGCCAGAAGTCCATTTATCTTCGTGCAATCCAGATGTTCAATATTTGTTTGGCAAAGCCTAAAGCGATGCCAATGACAGGTTCTGGTCCGATGAAACTGCTTGCTGCATCCTCCTTTGCAAGGGAGTCAGCAGCCTCGCTGTCTTCCAGGCCAGTATGGCCACCAATTCACACCAGAGACAATATGTTGAGTCTTCCTATCGGGGAGAATCGTTTTTGGAAATTTGCTACCAATTTAGACATTGCTCCCAACGCCGCTTGACTGCCCGAGAATATTTTTATTGACTTGTATATGAGGTTGGATTCTTCCAATTGAAATTGAAATTCAGTCGCATAGTTTCCTAGGCACATGACAGGTACTCATGACTATATTGTTACTTTTGGGATGTTACTGTGATGATATTCTTCAGATCTTATCTGGGTATCAAAAAACCATCCTGGGGTGAGTGCTACAAGGACTCTTTTATAATGTAGGTACTGTGAAAATTCAAGGGACTATTTGAGAGAATTTCTGAGGTATAAACGGATAATGAAATGGAGGTTTCCCAAGGAAATTATGTACTATCTAAATAAATAAATAATTATAATAATATGTGTTCGATTTTTATAAAATTGCCAGGTAATGGCATAATATAAATATGAATTAAGGATATTCACATCAAGAAGAGAATGACGTCACAAGATGACAAGTTACGGCGTTACCAACATGTGTACTATTTTGAACTTTCGAAATTTTTTGTACTGTTGATTTGTTTTATTGTTGATAACCTTTTCTGTACATTTTATACCCTGCCACTTCCGTGAAATGAATCAAACCACCTCTTAGGTTCCTTTATAGTTTGTGTACTAATTACCGATCGACCTACGCTATCTATTTACTATGATCATTTGATCTACGTATTTATATTTTTGTTACTCGTTCCATTGAACTGTTTCTCGAAATATTTCGGGTACAGAGAGCATTTTTAGGTTAGTATTCAAGTATGCCTCGATTTTTCCATAAATGTTTCGATCCAACTTTTCTGGCTTTATAAATTTTTTACATGAATCTCTTTACCTGAACCCCTTTACCTAAACAGCTTTATGGAGTTGGCAACACTTCTGTGGATTCATTTGGCTCAGTCGTTAGAGATTTTGCTTCGTGGCTAGCTTACCTACTGGAGTTATAGAGCTGCATCAATTTTTGCTCATTATTTTTGGACCTTGGAAAAATTGTTTTGAAATTCTCGATTTCTCACAAACTGCCGATCACGTCCATAAAATTAGGACATAGAGACAGAAAACATTCCGTACATATTTCAATTATTACATATTAAATTTCATTAGGTTTGTTCTGGATCCCAGTTTGTACTGTTTTGATTTTTCAAAAACAGTAGATGGGTCAGTTGTAGACAGAAATGATTCATGAACATGCAGTGGGATGATTTTTCAACCTTTATAAACAGTCTCATCAGAAAACCAGGCTATAACTCAGCTACAAGGTTAAGGGAGCTGGACTCCAATCTGATGAAACCGAAGATGACATGAACCAGAACAGGTCTGTTAACAGAAAATGCAGCAAATACAACTCATAGGCGTTTCATACCAAGTTAACATTCTGTTTGAAAAACATTTCTCTAAAAAGTTATGTGTTTATTAGTTATGTTGAATCTTATAAGTGTAGGTACTTCACAATATGAACTGAATTTCTCACTTTGTGGTCGTTGGTTTCTCATTCTCTATGATTTTCTTCAGTTCTATTTGCCAGTTTTCGTGAAATTTTCGTCGGAAAAGTCGATTCAGAAGTTGCTGCTGTTTCTATCATCGACATTGGCCCTTCATATCATTCACAATTACCCATATCGTTAATAGAAAAAGTAGTTTTCCAGTGACTTCTGTTCCATGACGCCCCTAACCAGATATTCTATTGTGGATTACTTCACATCACCGTCGCAGTTTTTTGACTCGAAAAATACGATCGTCCGGTTTTTGTTGTCACTCGCGAATGCAGAAATATTTTTGATATTATTGCATCAATTATATAATAATAATAAAACATTTATTATTCACCACAAATCCACAAAGAATATTTGGTTTCAAATAAAAGAAAGCTAGGTAAATAAAAGGTGATAGTTCAGTTTTCTTTCAACACCAGGAAGAGAGAAACTGGTCTTCCACTCAGATCCCTGCTACAAACCAAACTTGAAACTAAAATATACTTACTGACTAGTACCAATGAACAAGAAGACGTGAAAAAAGCAAGAGAAAAAAAAAGTTAAAAGAGAGAGAGAGAAAGAAGATAGGAACCCTTTTTATAATTAATTTTCACTTGTGAGGAAAGTAATTCCATCAGGTCATGAAATCGCTAGATTGCATGACGACGCTTTGAGAATTTTATTTTTTGTTCTGAGTTGGGAGATATTTCCAATTAATTTTCATTTTTGTAGTTCACGCAAACATACAGTCATGGATTTATTCAAAGAGAAACATGACCTACTGTAGTCGGTTATCTTGTACGTATTCATGTAACTAGCAATATTATATGAAAAAATACGTTTGAAAATTTCCTTTCTATGTCGATGAATGGTGATAAAAAAAGTTCATCGAATATTTCTATCATGTAGGCATGTTTTTTCGATATATGACTTTATCATGGAAATGGTTGGGTTGCTTGTATTTCAAAAGTTTGTAGAAGTAACAAAGGATATGTAGTTTACGCCTGTTGGACATATTGAGCCATTCAATTTCTTTAATTTTATGAGAAATTCTCTGCCTGCTACCAAAAATAAGTCTCAAATAGCAGTTCTGGATTTCCTGAATACGCTGACTATCGAAGCCATCTAAGCATGGCCCATATACCTACAATATCACAATAGTTGAAATGGGAAAGCACTAATGAATCACACAGCATTTTATTACATCTTGGCCTAAATAGTGTCTATGTGGGTAAATCATCTTCAAGCTAGCGTAACTTCTTTTCAACATAATATTAACCTGTTCTTTGAATCTCAATTTTTGATCTAGTATCAAACCCAAGTTGTTTGCACTGTTACTAAAAGATATTGTGTTATTTCCCATCCTCAGTATAATATTATAAGATATATCATTCCTGACATTTTCATTACAGAACAAAATAACACATGACTCTTGAGGATTCATTTTGAGTAGATGTTTATCACATATATATCTTTTAAAGATTGTAAGTCGATATTTATTTCAAAGGGATGGCTCTTGTAACATTTTCCAATAGTATCACATTGAATTAAGAGACATCCCTCTTATCTTTCAGAGAAGAATGGGAATACTTGAAACAGCAACATCTTCCAGACATCCTAGACAATGCAACTGAACTCCAACGAACATTCCTAGAGCTAGTCACAAGTGCCGCCAAACGCCTTTTCAACTACATGGATATAAGCAACGAAGACGCCAACATCCACCGTTTGTTTGACACTGAAGTTATAGATCTCACTGATGAAGTTAGTTTTATAGTTGTTTGTCCATCTGCAGAATTTTCCTGCTCTGTTCCGGGGCAAAGGGAAATTCTTCTCCAACGAGGGGATCTACTCAGTTTGCCACTTCAGGTAAATACGTTTGCAGTGATATTAGGATTAGGCTAAGATTTGTAATGTCAATAATGTTGTTTGTTGTAATGGTTGTGAATTCAAGAACTGTTTCATCACGTTCTTGTTTCAGGTTTTTGAAATGATCCATTTAAACACCTATCAGAACAGTATTATAAGAAAGTATTCCAAACTCAGCTGCCTCTTGGAACTAGATGCCGCAACAGCAAGCCACTTACATAGAGAAGCCTTCTCCAATAGCGAAGTAGCGATAGCCAAAGAACGGTTAACTAAATTACAGGACCTTCAAACTAAGCTGAATACTATCTGGAAAAGCGTCAGGTGGTTGATGGAAGTAATTTCTTTTGCTAGAGATCGTGTTACTTGTGGAATGAGTATGAGGTAAGGTGAGGCACAATGTTTCAATCAGTATTCTTCCATATTTATTCTTCAGAGTACAAATGATCATACTGAAATTTGTTACAGGTTCATTCTGGAGAAAGAATCTGGCATGTGTACTAGTCCAAAACGAAGTCTTTTGCAGATTCCTCCTCGCGATACAAAATCAGTGAAGAGTACTCCAGGTAGAGGTTCATGGCCGGGGCCAGGGGCTTCTAATATTACTCCAGGAGGCAGTCTTATCAACGAATTCAGTAAAAGTGAACAACACTTGAGCACAAACGAAAACACGCAATACCTCAGTGCTTGCAGCGATCCAGAGTCTCGAAAAAACAGCGACAGTTACAACAGTGATTACTTCAGCCAGAATTTACCTCCGTCACGTAGTGAAGACATGCTTTTTAGCATTCCAACTAGTACCACTCAACAACGTTTTCGAACCAACACTATTTCAAGTATTTCTGCTACTACCAGTCCTATGCTGGGTACTAGGTCGCTACGTTCTGGAAGCATGTTGAGTGTCAATACTCTCAATACGACCAACACTTCAGATAGTATGCATAGTTTTAGTTCAGATAGTGATGATTGTTTACACCCTATGAGCTCATCGACGCCAAACAGAAGACATAGATCAAAAATGGTACCATCAAAGAGCATGAGTAATGTTAAACAGAATATTTTGGACATAAGTACGAGGTCAGAGAGAACTAGACCAAAGCAGTTAAACTTCGATCCAAATATGTTGCACTCAAATTTAGAATCGAGTTTATCGAAAAGCCTGAGTAATATCAAATCATTCACAGACGTAGATTATCCTTCGGCTACGTATCTTAAACCTATGGATCTCTTAAGACCTCCAGAGAGTGTTGACAACTTCAAAATACCGGATGTCCATCCTCAGTCCAGCTCCAAAGATCTCGCAAGCGGAATACTTCAGGTTTATGCTGCCTACGAAACAGGCCTGGCCACTGGTACCAGCCTGAAGCTGCACGTCACTCCAAGAACTACAGCACGCGAGGTTGTTGATCTCGTTGTGAAACAGCTCAACATGGCTGTGGTACTAAAAGGAAAAGAAGGTCCTATTTATAACATTGATAAACTCAAAAACTTCTGTTTAGTCGCTGTAATTGGTGCTAGAGAACGTTGCTTAAGAGATGATTTCAAACCTTTGCAACTCCAAAATCCCTGGAAGAAAGGGAGGCTCTATGTTAGACAGAAACATGATGTTCTAGCTGCTCTCGAGCATAGTAGCAAACACAGCACAATTATTTGAAATGTTGATCATTGAATGATATGACATTATCAATAGTGCACAGGCTGATAAGTGATGAGAATATTTTCGTTTGAGAATGGACTTTTGAAAATGTGTTTTCGCTCAAATTGATGTATACCCCACGAATCAATAGGTATCACTCTTCAAAGAACCAGTTACTTCATATTCCATACTTTCAAATTCCTGATGAAGATAAAATCAAAGTATATTGTGATCTAGGAAAGATATTGACCCGTTTTCTAATTCAGATGTCACCAACATCTATCTTAACACTTCATATTTTAAAATTTTTTATGGTTTAATTTTTTGTGGTCAACAAATCTGAAGTAATTGGTTGAAACTGCTTGCTGAATCAATATTTCTTATTGATGTTGTTACACTGCTACCAGGAAACCGGCTTTTCAATGTTTCCATTTTACAATAAGAAACTAAATTCAAAATACTAGACAGGCAGTAAACATCTAATTGGCCATTGGAAAGTCGGAATTAGTCAAATTTGAAATGGTGCTAGATGATTGATATATCTTATGACTATTATAAATAGTAATATAAGAGTTGCCTAAGCTCGAATATGAAACAAGTCTGGTAATCTCTAGGTGAGAGATAGAAACTAATTGGATTTTCTTATAATGGTGTATCTGTCTTTCACAAAGGGATATTTTCACTTGGATCGTACTCTTGGCAACAAAATGATTTCTCCAATGCCTGCTGTACTTCATTCTGTTTGTAGACATTGGAGATTTTACCGCTGTGATGATATAATTTAGAGAATTTATATGTATAGGACCACTATTGACAAAAAATAATTATTGACTGAGGTTTTTACGAATAGTAATTTTTGCCATCCACATTTACTCAGTGATAGAAATACATATTTTTGAAAAATTGAATTTTGGGCCTACCAGCTCGCTGAACTCCACAAAATAGTAAGAATTTTTTTGTAGTTGTTCGAAAGTGCTCTTAGAAACAATCCACTTCTATATTTTTTTCAACGATATCCTACATTAAAATCTCTGCAAGAACTAGAACCTGAAATGCAACCATTATCAATTTCTTTCAGTGGTTTATGGTGTTTGTCAAAAAATATTAATTTTGATAAAAAGTAAAGTAACTTTATTTCTGACAATATCGTATAAAGGTTATTACAATTATAAATCGCGTTCAAATATACAATCACATCAATTAACAATTTGAAATATCAGATTTCGTTATCTTTCACCAATGTTTTCGTTCTACAAATTAATTCTTATGTATTTCATAAATTCTAACGCATTTTGACGTTTACTGTCAAACATAACTTGTCACTATCTACATCTCAGATTTCATGTACCTACAATAGTCACAGTTGAATTTTTGTTTTGCAATATAAAAAAAATCCTAAGGTGTTCGTAAAAGTTGTTTTGAACGTGATATTTAATTAATAATATCAACTTTTTTCAATAACAATTTCCGAAAAATAGAGGTACTGATCAAATTTTGTATTTTTTTACAAACCTCGTATAAAACTTAAATAATTTGATAACCGTGTGTTGAATTTTAGATTTTACTTATTGCATATTTTTTCATAAAGAAAAACATTTTATCTTGATATAATGAATACGCTGATCCATTACTTAATGAAAATTGATAATAATAGCGAATTATCGAATTTTTGGGCTATAAATTACAATTGAGGCTCCTTTTGCTACACAAAAAAAGTTTGCTATATTGTACCTACTCACTCTCATATTACTTATATTGTTTTTTGTTTCCATAAATTCATCAAGTCAAAGATGGTTAATTCAGAAATGTCAAACTGTGGGCTTCTATCTTACTTGAAATATTAAAATTTTGTTCTTTTCCATTCAAAATATTAGAAAAAATTATTCCTATAATGGAACTCGGTCACAACGAATATTTCATGATTAAGATACTAGCAAACGGCATTTATTTAAAAGTATATATTTTACATTGAAGAAAATAAGACTTTTTGCATTCCATAATTATAAAAAATTCACCTGCTGGCTGGCCCTCATCAGTTTGATTTCAACAAACAATATAAAACTACAGGGTGTGCTACGGAAAAATCTCATTCCTAACCTAATTGTTCTTATGTGAAAATATTGTTCAGAATTTGTAGACGTTGCCAGTAAATATACACAGAAAATAAAATGTCTCCTATTGAATATATCTAAATGTTAGAAACTGTCTAGTTTATATTAAAATATAATTCTATAAGAATAACGCTTGTTGAAATAAAATGTCCAAGGTGTAGTAGAGAATCATATCATAGCATTATGTGTTCAAAAATCGAATATTTATTTTATTTATGAATCTATTTTTATTTCAGTACAAAAATCTTGATATTAATTTGAACAATGTTATATTTGTATATAATTATGAGCAGAGTATGATAAAATTCTATAAAACTGTATAGTGCAATTGAATATGTAAGGAATTTCGGGAATGAGACAACCAAAAACTAGTGCATCGTATTATGTTGGCAATGCACATTATAATCCTGAGAAATATAATTTGTATAGAATGTAAAATATTGACTAAATACAATGTTATAAAACGTTAGTTTTCTATCTTATCATGAAAACCCCGAAAAAATTCTCCTGACATTCATAAAATCTTAATAAACAAGAATATACAAGTGTCATGAGGTTTGCATGAATTATATTTTTAAACTGAGTGATAAGTATATTTTTCTATTCAAAAAAATGTTGAAAATCATATTCAACAATTGAAATATACATATAGTTTTTTCCAGTGATTAATTGGAGAAAATAACTTTGTTTGATATAAGGATATTTGATTTTTGGTTACTGGTTGTATTAGTTTGAAGATATTTCTCATAACAATTTCGTAGGAAAACAAGAAGCAGTTCAAAAAAAGTTATACAATTGACACTCAGATTCAAATTGTGTAACTTTCCTTCACAAAAATCACTACAGAACATTTTATAACAAGATAGTAAGAATGAATTGAATGAGATATGGCTGTAGATATTGAACCATTATGAACCTAACATGCTTAGGTGTTGTAGTGTTTCTCAGTCACTCACAAATAAAGCTACTGTGTGATATACAATGTGTCCGAGATTAGGAGGCCTAGCATGGAACAATTTGGAAACCATAAGAGATACAATATCGGTTGAGTTTTATAGAATATCGGTTGAGTCTTACAGAAAATAAACTGAATCGAATTTGAGCCCATTTGTTTTCTACAAAGAATTTTGAAATTCACATATCGTGAATAACATTCAGAAACTTTCTTTCATCGAGGTTATGTTTGCATGTTTTCGGAAAATGAAAATATCTGAAAATACTTCATTTTGATACTCATGATAAGAAAACCCATTTTGATTAATATTTTGGAGACAGTTATTAAATTTCCAAAGTTCAACTCTAATATTCAATTATAACTATGAAGAGACAATTGATTACTAATTAAAATAATTTTATCATTTCCAAGAAACATCATGTCGTATTCATGACATGAAACAAGTCACATCCGAGTGAAATAACAATGTAACAAAAATGAATGAGTTTTACAGAAGAGTTCTGCTGAAAAAAAATTATAGTAAAATCTGATATTCGTCAGCTATTCAGAATGAACATAGGTACATGAACTTAGAAGACTTTCTTAGTAATGAATTGTATACATTCAATCCATCAAGTGGAATAGATGGCTTTCCAAAGTTTGTTTTAATTGGTTTTGAACAGGTAGAATTAATTTTCATGTCTCTTGAATAATGATACTTCCGCCCCATCATCAGGAGTATTTAAATGAACACCTGTGAAACTTATAATGAACGTTGTATCCATTTTCAACTATTCAGAAAGTTACCTCTGGTGAATGCCAGGGTAATTATATGTTTCACCGGAGGTATTACAAAGTACTCATATCAAATTGAAGAATCCATTTCTGGCCATCATATAGAAAGGTGAGTACATTGCTAAGACGTTTTTCCTCAAATATTTGCCCTTTCAATTATTTTTGTTCAGCGCGGATGTCATATTTTTGAATCATCTCATAACGACGCACACTCAGAGCTGTTTTATTAGTTTTTCTCTGGCTTGAATCTGAACATTTGTTTTCAAATGGTATCATATATGATGAACAGCAATGGATTTATCTATGGTGTTTCATCTTTCAACTAGGGATAAAAACTATTGCTCTGATATATAATGATAACTGTAACAACAGAAGTGACTTTTCTTCCAAATCTTTGTGAGACTAACTGTTTCAACAATATCCTTAAATTATCATTGGGTAGTTTCAAAAAATTTGTCCATTTTATTGAGCTCTGTTACGCCAGCGACGCAAAGTACGGAAATCGCATTTAGAAAATTCCATAATGCTAGCAACGCATAATGAAAACAATAATAAAATAATGAATGTTGAGGAAAAACTATTAGGTGCTATTTAAGTACTGAACGGTGAGAATCGTAACATTTTCTAATTATGAACAAAAGGTTCCAATTTTGCTAAACAACAGATCTAAGAATCAGGTCTCTCGAAAACGAGGACGAATGCTCAATCAATTATTGAAGAACGTACTGTAAGAACTCAGTCCATCAGGCCTAGTGGTTTTCAGATCCATAAGCCCCATAGGCATTATGGGATCTAGGTTTACTATTATTTATCTAGTGGACACCTAATTAGCACTTTATTCTTTCGCCCTTATTTATTGAGGAACGTACTATAAGAACTCAGTCCATCAGTCATAGTGGTTTTCAGATCCATAAGCGTCATAGGCATTATGGAATCTAGATTTACTATAAATATCTAGTGAGCACCTAATTATAAGCACTTTATTCTCTTGCCCTTATTTATTGAGGAACGTACTATAAGAAGTCAGTACATCAGTCATGGTGGTTTTCAGGTCCATGAGCCCCATAGCAATTATGAAATCTAGGTTTACTATAAATATTTAATGAGCACCTAATTAGCATTTTATTCTCTTGCCCTTATTTATTGAATTTGCCTCTCTTCACCCTATTACTATATGATGTCGTTAAGCAATTGTTTGCTATTTTTGTCTATGAATTCATATTGAACCAAAGCGCTGCCCAAACAGCCCGAAAAATTAACCAGGCATTTGGCATCTTGATTGATGGTATGTTCGTCGTTGGTTGCCAAACTTTGTTACGGAGATTTCTACCTCGAAAATGAGCCACAAAGTGGACGACCTACAGTAAACCAGGACAAGAATTTGAGAACCCTACTGTAGACTGACCCATCACAAACCCTGCGTGGAATGTTTTTGATGGTTTAAAATGTTTTGGAAAGGACAGGAAGCTCGAAAAGTGGGTGACCTACAATTTAAACGATCGACAGAAATTGTCACGTTTTGAAGTCTGGTTTTCTTTCTTTTTGCGCAACCAAGACGATTTTTTTTGGATCGGATCGTCATTTGTGATGAAAAGTGGATCCTTTACGAAAACAGGAGACGTTCAGAACAGTGGTTGGACACCGATAAGCCACCCAGGCATTTCTCAAAGACAAAAACCCCAAAAAAAATATGGTGACTGTACGGTGGTCAGCGCTGCTGACGTGACTCACAATAACATTCTGCCACCAGGCCAATCCATGCAGATGTGAGATCAGATATGTAACGTCAGATGTAAAATATGTAATGTCAGATTGGACATGGTTGATAAAGGAGTACAATCGAACCTTGTAGTTAATGGTATCTTTCATTTGAAAAGTAATCAGCGATCCTAATCGAAAATTGGTGAAACAAGTTACTTCAACCGGGCCAAACCATCACAGCGGAGTCCTCTTGTGACGAAATCAACGAAATGTACTGAAAATTGCGTCAGCAGCAGCCGGTACTGATCAACAGAAGAAGTCGGATCCTGCTACACGATAACGCCCGTCCGAAATTTGAACACCATACTCCCCAGACTTCTCACTAACCGGCAACTATCTTTTTGAGCATTTCGACAACTTTCTTACCGGTATAACCTTCGCCGAACAGGACCAGGCAAAAACGGCCTTCATCTTATAAAATGCCGGACATCCAATTTTTATACTGACGGAATTAGTCGACTTGTGTTACGCTAGCAAAAGTGCACTGACACAAACAGCGCTTATTTAGATTAAATTGAATAAACCCGTGTTAGGAGTCAAACGTTAAAAGGTAAGACCTTGTTATTCCTTAGCTCACACAAGTTTCGAGTTTTGGAAGTTGTCGTTCGTAGGGGTGTGACTGCTGGATAACGGCCCGATCACACTTTTCGTAACGCTCTCGTCACGCATTCACCAGCTAAATCCCCAAGTCAAGCGCACGTAATGAAGTTTTACTTCAACGAGGTTGGGGTATCCAAAGTCAAATACCAGCATCGTATATGCCAAAAACATTTTATTGTGAGATTTTCACTAACCATTTTTACAAAAACGCAACACGTGTTTCAACATACAATGGCTTATTTCATTATTTCGTACTTCCATTGTCTGATATGATGTAAATTGATTTGTAAACCCTGCAAGAATCTGAAAAAAAATAAAAATAAAAAGGTTACCTGAAAAAATAACAATTATATAAACCAAAAAAACTGAAATTACAATGATATAAAATACAAGTAACGACCCAAAAAATTAAAAAATAGAATATTAACACGAAATGAAAATTAAAAACATTATTAACAAGGAATGAAAATTACAAATTAAAAGATTCTAAACCAAGTTAATTCACGACGTTTCGATTGTTAGTATCCACAATCGTCTTCGGATGATAAATGGACTTATTCCTTCGAGATCTGACTATTTATAGGTCACTCGAGTGCTTTCACCTATCACCTCTTTCCTCCCTTCGCTCCATCAGTTTTGGCGGAAGCTGACAGTTTGGCGGGAGTTGGTCGTGTTCCGCTTGATTAGAAGTTTCCATATGTTGCGTATCTCTACGTTAGCTTGACTAAATGCGTTGTTGAACAACATATACGCGGCTTCTTTGAGTTTTCTCCTAACCCAGTGTTTCTCCTTGTGATGATTTCAACTTGAGCCCACTTGATGTTATGTTGATAACTCCAAACATGATCTGCTATTCCTGATTTGCTGGTTTCTCCTCGCTCTGTATGTTTCTTGTGCTCGGCAATGCGAACTTTCAATGGCCTCTTAGTTTTTCCGCACTCGCAGTGTATCCGGTAAATGCTATTCTTGGAATCGCAGTCCGCGTTTTGTGGCCTGGTTTTCGTGAGGGTGCTACAGATAGTGTTTCCAGATCTGAAACAGGTTCTGACGTTATACTTGGACCCAATCCTTCTTATCCTTTCCGACAATC